CGCTTGCCGAGCCTCCTTGTAACGTTGTCCAGGGCCTGCGGGATTTTTCTTTGCCTCTTAAAGAGATTCGTGACTTTGTGACAGTGACATCAGCCAGTAAAACAGGCCCACGGGAACTTCATGTGTGCAGACTCAAACTGGTCTCTTTTTTTCCCTCTGTCCCCTTTCTCCCTGAAATCGAGGTGTTTTGGCATGACAGGGGGAAGAGCCCAGCGCGACGGTGACACTTAGCATCATGCTGGCTCCAGCTGCGTCACACCCGCCTGCTCCCTGCGCTCAGTGGTCAGGAGTTTGTCCAGAAGCACTTTCTTGTGCTCCTGTGCCTACTGCAAGCCACACACGGACTGGAGAAGGCAGCCCAGACCCGACTTTTGGAATTTAGCTTTTGCATAAAGTATCCTGCGCTGCTTTTCGAAAGCAAATAACTAGATCCTTGTTTGAACTGTGGTCTCTAGAGATGAGTACACGCACCTTTATATTCTTATGCCTAGAAGGCACCCCTGATGGAAGGCTTTCTGGGGAGAGTTTTTGACATAAGCGTTTCACAAGTGGAACTGAAAAAGCTGTTATTTAAAGTTACTTGGAGTAGGAGCCTCTGAAGGGACAAGATGGCTGTGAGCATGGATGATGACGTTCCCCTCATCCTCACCCTGGATGACAGTGGAAGCAGCACCTCGGCCCCTCTAGATGACCTGGATCGGGAGGAGCTGCCTAACGAAAGTAAGATTGCTCTGTCGTTTCCTGCCCGCTCTGATGGCCTCGCTTATTTTTCTTTTTGCAGTCGCCGCTCTTTCTCGTGCTTGCCAGGACCTGAAACTCTCAGGGCTGTCATTCAGCGTCCCGGCGGCTGCCTGAGAAAATCAGATCAGGAAGTTGCTTATTGTGTTGCCTGTTTACTCGCAGCAGCCGTGTGACACCGAGGGCGGAGGACACTGGATGGACGGGTCCTACCGATGCCGTTCCTAATACGTGTTCTTTGTGGTTTCCACATAATAACCCGTGACCTCGTTGTCCTTAAGCTCAACTCCCCCTTCCTGAATGTTGGCCCAGAGCATCTCCTTTCCTTGGCACTGGCCCACTGTGCCTTACCACTGGCCCAAGCTGTCGGGTGCAGCAGCTGCAATTATGTCATTTAGCATTTTCCTGGCACCGTAAAGCATCCATCCTTTGCAACTGTTGTTTTGCCCATTTCTAGTTTACGCTCTGATTTTTGCAATAAGAAAAGTGATATGTGGTGATAAATCCCTTTAACATCTTCATAGTATCCTTACCAAAGAACCTGGAGTACTTCCAGGCAATATATTCACGCTCCCGCTAGCCCCAGGTGTTCGGTGGGGCAGAGCCAGCCTGGGAGCGTTGGGAGGGAGAAGGCAGAACCCACCATCTCTTGGAAGCACTGCTTTCTCCTCAGTAAAGCTGTCGCCCCGCAGGAGGTGAGCCGGGGCCAGCAGCTGCGTTTGAGCCTGATCAGTGAGTCTCTGGTTTGTGTTGCACCTCACTGAATGTGTTTGGGCAGTTTTGTTCGACACATCCCTTTTGACTTCCAGTTGACATTGCAGGTGGCTGCACAACTCCTGGGAGCCTATTCAAGCCCTTGCTGCCACAAGCTCAACATTTGTAAGAAATAAACAGCCTCCTGGTCTAGCAATCACTTCTTCCTACGTTATACCTCTATTCCATGCTGCCTCTGTGGCTCCGATTTGATTTTTCTCTTGCAGTCATGTGGGTTCTCTAAATTTTCTCCTTCTGTGACTTCCTGAGCCAGTATCTAGTTTCTGACAATCAGATTCCTCCTCCCCCACCCCTGCAATACACATCCCTGACTGAATCCCGTTCTCTAAGTTCTGTTGCTCCATGGCATCTGCTCTGTTGAGTCTGTTTGTCTTTTAAAGTTTAGCTCTCTATTTTTAAGTTAAATGGAGAGAGAATGCTTCCTCTCCCCCGGTGTATTTATAGGCTTTCTCGTGACTAATCACTCTTCTCTCATCTTTCTCTTCTACCCACCTCCCATCCCTTTCAAGAAGTTGCGTGTTTATCAGTTGGTTAAAGCCAACACGACTGTGTTAAAGCACAAGCACGAGAACGAACATATTAAGAAAATATTCCACAATCTGCTTCCCTTAAAATGCAGGGAAACTGTTTAGAGACTAATTTTATGCTGCTTAAAAGATCGCTGTGTGGTTTTCGAGAATTCATTTCTCGGAATTCTTCGAATGAAGCATCTTTGGGTATTGAAGAACCGTTATTTTGCTCTATGTTGTAATCGCTGTTGAAGTTGCATTTGCTGAAAGAATATAAAGCTTATTCCACGCAAGTGATGCGGGGTGATGCGAAGCCCTCTGAAGTCAGAGGGTGCTGCGAGCTGAAAGATGAGAAGGGGAAGGCTGGCGTAAACAACTTGAAAGGCGCGTTTATCTCCGAGAAGCGGGAAGCTTAAATCGGCGAGTGAGCAGCCTAACGGCAGCGCTCACAAAAGGGAGCGTGTTGACAAAGCAGAACGTGTGGCCCTGCTTTCCTCTGCCTGCACAGAAAATCAGCTGCGAAATGCAGGGAGGTTGTGTGTTGAGGAGGCTGTGAGGAGTTCATATGTTTCCCCTCTGCCCTGCCTCCACCTCTCTGCTGAGGACTGAAATGACATTAGCACAACTGTAACTTCACGTTTTTATACAGAGGCCTGTCTTTTTCAGGGAAAAAGGGTATGTGAGAAGCCGTTTTCTGGAGAGGGAGAGCCTGCCAGCACGGTGACGAGGGCGTGGGGACAGGGAAGTTCAGGCTGTTTCCTTCTGCTTTTGCCTTCCTTACACCCAAGGTCTCGCGATTCAGCCGCAGCTTGGAGGAGCAGCTCGCTTGTGACTGTGCCTGTGGACTCCCTGGGGGTTGGTGGCAGGTGAAACACAAAGCTTTCATTGACGTGTTTCTCCAGACACCTGCTGGGTTTGCAGCGGAGGACCCACAGGCCTCTTCCCAGGTAACGCTGCCGGAAAGACAAAGCGGGTCTGACCACCCTTAGGCTAAATCAGGTGTCGTAGCGGTCGAGCGTAATGAAGTTGCACCCCAGTTCTGTGTCAGTGAACCTCCCTAGATGGTAATCCGTGTTCCAGCATGTCCCGGCCGTCTCACCAAGTGCTGTGTATCGGTGTGATTTCAGTACGTCAACTCTCGTGAGGTTTTTTATAAGGAACTTGTGCTTTCTAAAGAAAAATCCTTGATCCGCAATGTAGCTTCGTTACAGTCAGGTCCTCGGATAAGTGAATTTGTAGTTTTGGACCCTTGGTGTTGGAAATGCAGACAGGTTACTGTGGCAAAATAAGTGGTAATGGGGCTTTCTGAAAGGAAGCCTGTTGTAAAGAGAAAGGACTGAAGTGTCAGAGTGTATCCCTTCCCGAACCTTGCAGAAGAGCCCTCTTCTGATGTCTTGGGGTTAGAATAAAAGAAAGCTAAATGAGAAAACTGTGTGGAAAATTACATGCTTAGAGAAAATGTCCAGCTGCAAAAATTAATCTCCCTAATCATACAGCTCTTAAGCGCTTAATGGGAGAAAATACTTGCACGGGGAGGAATATTAACGCGCTGCCTTCCTTGGCTTGTGCTGGGACACACGTCTTCCAGGGAGCTCCCGTTCGCAGCCACAGCAAAAGGTCAGAATCCTGCGAAGTCGATGGGAATTCAGACCCCATATCCAGAAAAATGTGATCTCTGTGGTGCTGATGGTTTCCTGACTACACCAGGGAGTACTGCGGTGCTGGGTAGTTTTTCCTTCAAGCTCCAGCAGCTGCAGGAGACGGAGAGAAGCGCTTTCGTCGCTTGAATCCGCGCTAATTAACGTCATGCTGCCCTTCCCTGGTCCATCTTACCGGAGAGTCCGGGCACTGTACACGCTGATTAAGCTTCCCAGCGCCTGTCTGCGGTGAGTGACCAACTGAATTTCTGCCGAAGGTGAAAATGGGGATGCAATCCTTGCGTGACCTTTCCCAAAATTGTGGGCCAAAACGGTTGAGAAGCAGCTGGGGTTTCGTGGTTTCCAGTCCCTCCGCCAGACTCCCGGGAAGCGTTCGAATGGAGTTCTCGGTCTCAAAGCGCAGGGTGTGTTTGCCATGTACAAAGGCAGCAGGGATAGCCTTGAAACACTAGGACAGTGTCTCTCCTTGAGCTGGTGGGAGCTATAAGTGATAAATGAGTGCACATTGATTTATCCTGTATTAGATCAGATACAAGATTCTCCTTTGCCTCCTGCGTGGAAATTGCTGTAGCCTCAAGTGGAGTTTCAGTGTGTTCAGAGCAGAAAGTACAGCTCAAAATGTTGTACAGGGAACAATATGATATTGTGTGTCTGTTTCTCCCACACAATGGATTATGGCAAGTGGAAGAAGTCATCTTTAAACTCTGGGTTTTTACAAGAAAGCAACTGCTGCTGCTATTGAGGTGAAAATGAATTAGCGTGGGGAGGCGGGGGGAGCAACTGCAACAGCCAAGTGCGATGTTTTCTAGAAGGATGGTTGGAACATGGGATGTTATAACTTCGGATGTTGAGCTTTCAGCTGAGCCTTTGCAATCTTGGTTTCTGCTGCCTGAGGAGTAAATTGCCAGGAAAGCTAGAGCCAGCATGGGAGAAGGAGAGATGCTGACGCTGGTGCCTGTCACTGCTGGGAAGGGCGGATGGGCTAAAGTGCGTAAAGAGGATGAGATTCCCTGTTGGTGAGGCTGGTGGGGGCTGGCCAAGGTGACTTTGCTGAGTGCCAGTGACTGCCCCCGAGACTGCTGGTCGTGCCTCTCAAACAGCGTGTGCTGTGCTTCCAGGCACCACTGGAAGGAGGAACTCTCCCCTGGCCTTGCTCTGCACATCGTTCCCTGATGAAACGTCTGAAAGGGCTTCCAGCAAAGCTGTTCTTTTTGTAACTGGCTGGTGGAAACCCACATAATGTTTCTCAGCGGTCTAATTACAGCATTAATGGATGTTGTATACAACAAACTCAGCTTTTTTTAAAAAAAAAATCATTCACTGACCCGCAGGTAGACTGATGTTTTCAGGGGTGGCCCAGGATTTGGGGCAGTTAATGTTCTTTTGATACATATGAGCCCCCTGGATTTTGATGTGTTTGGTGATCAATGCATCCTGAAGTGATGTCATTCTTTTCTGTGTTGGATCTGGTTCCAGAACACGTTTGTAGCAGCAGTGAAAGTAAACCTGTTCCCGTGGTCCCCAGCTTCGGCTCATCTGGTGAACGAGTCCGGCTCTGCAGACCTCTCTGCCTTCTTCCTACTGCTTCTTCCTGTAGTGCCGGCTGCGGGTGAGAGAGATTTCCAGGAGTAAAACAGGCGTGCGTCTTCTGGTGGGCAGCGGGAGCAGACACGGAAACACCTGACCTCTGGGGACGAGCTGTAGCCATGCGGTCTCCTAGGAGCTGTGCTTCTTGAGGAACCACTTCAGTTGCCATGAAAGCGTTCTGGCCCTGCTACCCTTGAAGGAAAATAGGTGCTTTAAATGTCAGCTGTGTAGTAGATTTAATAAATCCTTCAGGATCTGTAGGTTTTGATCTTGTGTAAAGTAAGGATTACAAAAGATGGATATTTGGGCTTGGGCATTAGTTATGAAATGCTGTAGCTAATTGGTGTGAAGAAATACGGAGCGAGGGAACAAGCAAACACTTGCAATGGACCTGGCAGGTCCTAAGATCTCTGACGGCCAGGCCCTTAAATAGCCTTTTGGGTTATCTGGTGGC